TCTTGCCCGGAAAGCCTATTGCAAACCTGATTTTCAAGATTTATGGGCGGATCAGCACGATTCATGCTCTTTCTTTCTTGTCTGATCTCAAACTTGGGCACTACATGAAAATCCCGCCACGCTGTATGTACACGGCTCAGGTATACTTTCTGCTTATGAGCTTTTAGTTCTAAGGATCTTAGACAGCTTTCGGAACATTAAATAAGAATAGTCGATATTATGTTTCCGCAGCTTGTGGGAACTGTAGTTGCAGGTATGGTCAACCTTGGAGTTGCTTGGTGGATGTTGGATAGCATTCAAGACATCTGTGATATTGAAGGAATACATCCTGATAGTCCATGGACTTGTCCTAAATACCGTGTCACGTTTGACGCCTCTGTTATCTGGGGTTTAATTGGACCAAAGAGGCTTTTCGGACCAGGAGGGATGTACCGTAACTTAGTTTGGTTGTTCCTCATCGGAGCTGTCTTGCCAGTTCCTGTTTGGGTGTTGAGCAAGTTTTTCCCAGAAAAGAAATGGATCCCCTTGATTAACATACCGGTTATATCTTATGGTTTTGCCGGAATGCCACCCGCAACTCCGACCAACATCGCGAGTTGGCTCGTCACTGGAACCATCTTCAACTACTTTGTTTTCAAGTATAACAAGCGGTGGTGGCAGAAATATAACTACGTTCTATCTGCAGCATTAGACGCTGGAACTGCTTTCATGGGTGTTTTACTGTTCTTCGCTCTGCAAAACGAGGGTCATAACTTGAAATGGTGGGGCACTGAGGTCGACCATTGTCCTCTCGCAAGCTGTCCGACAGCCCTAGGTATCTCGGTTGAAGGATGTCCGGTTTCTAATAGACTAAATCAACCATACACACAGCAACATGAATGAAGACTGGGAATGCAAGGCAGAAATGATTTAGTTTTGTGAAGACATTAGATTACAGACGTACAAACGTTGCGTATGTTGCAGAATTTATAGTCTATGCTGTAAAGTAAAGCTTATGTTTTTTTCCCGATCATCCTCTTCCTCTCATCATTTGAGAGGTGGTAGTTAATATTTATCTTTGTGCCTGCTTGTTTGATATATAGCAGAAATCTGCATTTTGTTTTTGCTTCTGATATGGCTGTTGCTAGCTAGCTTGATGAATAATATGAAGCTATTACTTCCTCCTACCTCCCGAGTCCCGGTCCTGATCTATATATATCTAAGGCGAAGGTGATACGCATATCTCATTCGCAACCCCGGTAGGGAACTTCCACACACCGGTCCCTCGAAATCATCCGATGTTCTCTTGAACTGCCAGAACCTAGGAACAACAATGCATATTATGTGCAGGGAAAATTGCAGGCTGGTTTGAACATATGTATCATGTAAACCATCTTCAAGATGCATGGAACTCGGAAAGTACCTCTCTGTTTCCGTTCATTACAAAAGCGTCAATGCCGACTCGCTGCAAGGCATTTGCCGGAAGAGTGTGTGGGCCACGAGGAATCCAATAAACAAGCATCGAGTAATTTGGTTCAGCATGGTGATACCAACCAACATCCTTTCAGCAGCAGCAACAAAAAGGCATTTCGGGTATACATAAGAATTCGATAATTAGGCTCTAAACAAAAATGAGTCACCTTAACGACAGTTTCGACGATTACTCTGGTGCCGCCACCATGCAAAGCTCGAAGAAGAGAAGCAAAGAGGGCGAGTCCATAGGTCGAGTCATGTCAACGATTACTCCTCCGTTACCTGTTGTTCACTGCATTAAGTAGGTTAAAATCTAGAGTTCCTTGTTCTTCATTTTCATTCACATTTGGAGTTGAATTCATTGATGCAGACATGGCTGTTTCTCAATCTGGTTGCCGAACTTGGATGATGATTATGAATGACGGTGATGTCGTATATCGGTTCAGTCCGATCCGACTCACGAACACCTCGCACCTGCGGAGGTTGATGGATCCTCAAACAAGCAAGCCAAGGTAATGAACGCAGGGCACTCGAATCCGACTCCACTCAAAGAAAATATTTTCTCCACTTGAAATTTTAGAAATAAACTCTATCCAGTTCGACCCTACATTAAATAAAAACCTAATTAAAAAATATGTAGAAAGGGTATTATAGTAATTATTCATAAATTTATATATATAAATTATACTATTATCATCATCGAGCTGGCTTGATTTGAATATTTTTCACCTTCTACCCGAACCTGACACTTCCTTATATAAAACCCAATTCAAATCTGATCCGACTCAAAATTTTTAATAAAAAAACACGACTTTATCAAGTTGGGTCAAATCGAAATCTATTAGTTTCGAGTTAAATAATCATCTTTAGGTGTACTTGAAATGTTCTGTTGAAGGATTTAGAGATTTTGGATCGAGATGTGCAGGGAAGAGGTTGACTTTTGACCGGATTGGACCAAAACGGGCCGGTGGTTTCGAATTTAGATTGTTTGGGCCTTGAATGAATTTGAACTCCAAATAAATTTGAGTTATAGACTATAATTTTTCAGAATAATCTAAGATAATTATAAGATAGTATATTAGTATATGTTCAAAAAAAATTAATCTGTTGATAATACATATCATGCTGACGCAGTTGTTCAAATGAAAGATCTCTAAGAAGAATAATACTATATTTTTATCACAAGACCACTCGACGGGTTCAAATACATTTAATTTTAGGGTAAAATACGTGTTTACTACATAAATTATTAGTTTTGGTCCGCTTTAGTGCCTAAACTTTAATTTTTCTTAAAAGCATACCTAATGTTTAATTTTTGTTTCATTTTAATACCCCACCATTAAAAATTTAACGTAAATGTTATAACTTGACACTTTTTTATGGGTAAATTATATCACTCATCCCTTAACTATCTTCTTACTCCTATTTTGGTCATTAAAGTTTACTTTTTTAATTTAATTTTTTAACTTTCAAATTACTCCTAATTTAATCATTCTAACTTTCAATTTTTTTAATTATATATTAATAAAATGATAAGAAAATATCATGTCCCAAAATATTATTAATAAAATAAATTATAGTGATTAAAACATGAGCAATTTGAAAGTTGACAATTCAAATTAAAAATCTTTAAACTTTAATGACCAAAATAGGTGCGATAAGATAGTTAAGGGATGAATGATGTAATTTACCCATGAAAAATGTCATGAAAAAGTCTCCTTAATTTTTAATGATCGAGTATTAAAATGAAACAAAAACTAAACGTTAGGTATGTTTTTGACAAAATTGAAAGTTTAAATACTGAAACAGACAAAAACTAATAGATCATGTACTAAATTCGTAGTTTACCCTTAATTTTATTATATCTCAAATATAATATATTTATAATCTAAAGTAAAAGTAGATAAAAAATTAAATAAGAACATCTAAAAGAGGGAAGAGAAAGGAAATAATTAAATTATTTAATTGACATATAACCAACCATCAAAATAAATTAGCCAAATGTCCATGTCAATGTCTCATTAATATGCATTTCTTTTGGGTACTTAATTGCATAACCTACAATTACAAACTTTATTATCTTCTTGTTGGTATTTGACTATTTGGTACCTCAACTAATCCCTTACTCTTTCTTTTTTAATCACTACTTGATCTTTTTCTATTGAGATTGGTGATGAATTATTGGTCAAATTATATTACTAGTCCCATGCTAAATGTAATTCTAGTTTAGCTATTATTTGATATTTTGTCGAAGAGAGTCAATCAAATAAAAATTAAGGTAAATTATGCGTTTAGTACTTAAACTATCAGTTTGGTTTGTTTTAGTACCTAAACTTTCAATTTTTTCAAAACTATATCTAAAGTTTAGTTTTTGTCATTTTAGTGCCCTGTTCGAAGTTTAACGTTAAATCTTGAAAAAATTGAAAGTTTAGGTACTAAAACAAATCAAAACTGATATTTTAGGTACTTGAGGTTTTAAAGAAAAAAATATTAAAATGAAACAAAAAACTAAACAATAGGCATGGTTTTGAAAAAAAATGAAAGTTTATGTATTAAAACGGATCAAAACTGATTGTTTGGTATTAAATGCATAATTTACCCTAAAAATAATACTTTTCTTATTTAATATATTTGACAATATAAGATTAAAATCATCCTATAAAATTCTTTCTATAAAATTATAAAAATAGTAAGTAAATAAATACTTATATAATTTTTAAAAACTATTTATCATTTAAAAATTTATATTTCTTAAACAATTTAATTGTATATAGTAAAATTTAAGTAATATGTCAAACAAAATTTGTAAATTAAATTAAGTATTAAGATTTTAGTTTGCCAAACAATAATTTAATTGACGTTAGTCTTTATATCTTTAAATTTCCAAAACTCATTCTTAATACGAACCATACAAAGATGATATGGATCAAAATATAGTGAATTAAAATGATCATGAACTAAATAGCAATATCACAATTTATCCAGGATCAAAATTTTAAATTTTGAAATGTAAATACAGGGACTAAATCATAATTTTTCCATAACAAAACTCAAAACACGCAGACGTAACAGCAACGTTGAAACGAATCAAAAACAAAAGCTGCCAATGTTGAAAACTGAAAGGCTCTCTCCCTTCTCTTTCAACCGACTCAACTCCGAAAATCAAACCATAATTTCTCTTCTTCTTCCTCCCCGTTTTTAGTTTGTCCATTGCGTATCTTTTCGAAAGAAAAAAGTTAACAACTTTGATCTTTAGCTTATAATACATATACGTGTCTCTGTAGCTGCTGTTTTTGATCTTATCTTCTTCTTCAATTTTGAAACTTGATAGTTGATACTGTTTGAGCTCTTAAGTTAGCAGGTAATACTGGGAACTGCTTTAGTTCTAGGAAAATGATAAGTATTCGAGTTTGATTGACTTTTTATATCAATTTAGAAGCAGCCCTTATGTGTTTTTAAACGATTTTAGCTTGGGAGAGTCGTGCTTATTTTTTTCTTTCTCCCAGAAATTGAAGAAATATAAATACTTTGGAAGAAGTGGAATATTGCTAGACATTGTTGTTAGACAGTGTTGATTGCTTGTCGGTGGGTGGGTTTTTTTTTTATAGAATTAAATATTATCAATCAAGGCCACAGTTTGATTGGATTGAGGGAATCTAGAGAGGGGGGAAAATTCCCAGAATGAAGCTTATCGTGGGCGTAATGGAAGCTAGAAACATACCCGCCATGGATATAAATGGGTTCAGTGATCCCTACGTGAAGCTTCAGCTTGGGAAACAGAGGTACAAAACCAAAGTGATGAAGAAGACATTGAATCCAATTTGGGGTGAGGAATTTAGTTTCAAGGTGGAGGATTTGAATGAGGACCTGCTAATCTCTGTCTTGGACGAGGATAAGTACTTTAATGATGATTTTGTTGGTCACCTTAAAGTCCCCGTTTCCCAGGTTTTCGGTGCTCGTAACAAATCACTTGGCACCGCTTGGTATGCGCTTCACCCGAAGAACAAGAGGTTGAAGAACAAGGATCGTGGTATGTTTTCTTTTTTGCTTTCTCAGAATCTGCAACACCCTTTTATATATGAGGATCATTGTACAAATTTCACTTTTTCTCCCCCCCCCACCCCAAAAAAAGTGCTTATCTAAGTAGTTTGAATCTAGGGTTCAAAGATTCCAGTCTTGAAATACATGTTTCAACTTTTATTGGTTATACTGACTGCAAGAATCTTTATCTACATACTTTTGTTTCAATTTTGGTTGTAGGTGAAATACTTTTCAATATCTACTTTTCCCTAAACAATTTGAATTGTGACGGTGATCCTGCACCGACATTGAGGAAGCATGAAGACATGGCTAGTAATGATCTTTCTAGGTCTTTTAGTGGTTCATTGAACTTGTCTTCTCCGCCGATACAAGACGATAATATGTCTTCCAAGGAAGAGAAATCATCTGCACAGAAATCCCTAGCAGGTCGAATCACTCAAATGTTTAATAGAAATGTTGACACTGCTTCTACTACATCCACTAGGGGTACTGATTTGACAGAGATACCTGAAATTTCGAGTGCTGATATTGTTGATAACAAGTCTGATGATCAGTCATCTTCTTTTGAGGAAGCGATTGAAGCACTGTGCTCGAGAGATCAGGGGAGTGAAGTACCAAGTAATTTACCTGGAGGAGTGCTTCTAGACCAATTGTATGTGATTGCACAGAAAGAACTAAACTCTCTGCTTTTCTCACCTGATTCAAGTTTTCCTAGATCAGTAGCAGAGTTGCAGGGATCTACTGATCCACAATTTGGGCCTTGGAAATTTGAGAATGGTGGTGAGAGCTTGCAAAGAATTTATTCGTACATCAGGGCTCCAACCAAATTAATCAAAGCTGTGAAAGCCACCGAAGAGCACACATATATAAAAGCTGATGGGAAGACTTTTTCTGTTTTAGCTGTCGTGAGCACTCCCGATGTTATGTACGGGAGCACCTTCAAAACTGAAGTGCTGTACTGCATTACTCCTGGGACTGAGCTTCCATCCGGAGAACAATCTTCCCATTTGGTGATTTCATGGCGAACAAATTTCTTGCAGAGCACCATGATGAAAAGTATGATAGAAAATGGAACCCGACAGGGTTTAAGGGAAAGCTTTGAGCATTTCACTACTCTACTAGAGCAGACTGTTAAGCCAGTTGATCCAAAGGATCTCGGGTTGAACAAAGAACAGCTTTTGGGATCATTGCAGGCTGAACCCCAGTCAGATTGGAAGTTGGCATTCCAGTACTTGGCTAATTTTACCATGGCTTCCACAGTTTTGATGAGCTTATATGTAATAGTCCATATCTGCCTAGCTGGACCTAGTACAATTCAAGGACTCGAATTCGTTGGGCTTGACTTGCCTGATTCAATTGGTGAATTGATTGTGTGTGCTGTTTTGGTTCTTCAAGGTGAAAGGGTGCTGCGGTTAATCTCACGCTACGTGCATGCCAGAGCGCAGAAAGGTAATATTTACATTTAATAACTACTTTGCCAAGCTCGTGAGAAGAGTTGCAATGTCTTGTTTCTCGTGTCTCGGCCTTTGATTTTCTTTTTCTTTCATGTCTCTAACAATAGGGAGTGATCATGGAGTGAAAGCACAAGGGGATGGATGGTTACTAACAGTTGCATTGATCGAGGGAAGTACTTTAGCCGCTGTAGATTCCAGCGGCTTTTGTGATCCATATGTGGTGTTCACGTGCAATGGGAAAACTAGAACCAGCTCAATCAAGTACCAGAAATCTGCCCCCCAGTGGAATGGTGAATTCAACATTGCTCTTTGTCTATGTTTGGGTTCAGTGTACATGTTTGCAGCTGCACTAGCATCGTTTTGAATAATGAGTCACTTTAATCAATTCTCGAGTATTGCTTTTTGCAGAAATACTTGAATTCGATGCTATGAAAGAACCTCCTTCCGTATTGGACGTTGAAGTTTTTGATTTTGACGGGCCTTTTGATGAACCTACATCTTTGGGACGTTCTGAGGTTAATTTTGTAAGATCTAATATATCTGATCTAGCTGATGTGTGGGTTCCTCTGCAAGGTAAGTTGGCTCAGGCATGCCAGTCTAAGCTGCACTTGAGAGTTTTTGTGGAAAATACAAGAGGTGGAAACGTAGTTACAGAGTACTTAAAAAAGATGGAGAAAGAAGTGGGGAAGAAGGTAAATAGATAGTTACTCATTTAGCTTCAACCGACCAAGAATAAAGTATTGTTGTCCATTCTTGTTATTTACTTTAGGCCAAATGTTCTATTTTGCAGATAAATGTGAGGTCCCCTCAAACGAATTCGACCTTTCAGAAACTCTTCGGTCTTCCTCCAGAGGAATTTCTCATCAACGACTTTACCTGTCACTTGAAACGGAGAATGCCTCTGCAGGTTCTGTCTGTCTAGCTATATAATATTTTGTAAAGCTCACTTTTGTTATGATTAATATCAGTAATCAATACACTGTGTTTGCCCCTTTTTGTTATTCTGGCGTTGCATCTATGCAGGGTCGCTTGTTTTTATCACCAAGAGTAATTGGGTTTCATGCCAATTTATTCGGCCACCGGACAAAATTCTTCTTCCTTTGGGAAGACATTGAAGATATTCAGGTTTTCCCACCTACTCTGTCATCAATGGGCAGTCCAGTTATTGTTGTGACTCTCCGTCCAGGAAGAGGATTGGATGCTAGACACGGTGCAAAGAATCAAGATGAGGAAGGCCGGTTGAAGTTCCATTATCAGTCTTTTGTCTCTTTCAACATAGCTCATCGGTAAAAGAGCAATCTATCTTCTGTGATTTCTGTTTTTATTTAGTTTATGCTTTTCTGTATCTTTTGATATGTTTATTAATTTTCATTTTTTTTATTGTCTAGAACAATCATGGCTTTGTGGAAAGCCAGAGCCTTGAGCCCAGAGCAGAAAGTGCAAATAGTTGAAGAAGAGTCCGAGTCAAAAGGCCTCCAACCTGACGAGAGTGGATCTTTCTTAGTCCTCGAGGACGTCACTATGTCTGAGGTTTATTCGCGTGCTCTTCCTATTCCCGTAAGTCCTCTACATCTTCTCTCCCTATGTGAACCTATGGAACTAGTTTCCCGCATCATGCAGGTTGACCACTGCCAGTCCTTTTGTTATTAATGGAATTCTAATATGTAAATGTAGCATATGACCATTCATATGCATGTTTTTTAGATATATTTCCTGTGATCAGATGGTGATTGTTTTATTGGTGATTCAGATCGGGTTCGTCATGGACTTATTCAGTGGTGGTGAATTGGAATATAAAGCTATGAAGAGAGCTGGCGGTCTTAACTATTCTTGCACTCCATGGGAGTCAGAAAAGGCTGATGTGTACGAGAGGCAAGTATATTACAGATTCGATAAGCGTGTATCCGGCTATAGAGGAGAGGTGACTAGTACACAGCAGAAATCCCTACTTCCTGATAAAAACGGTTGGCTTATTGAAGAAGTTATGACTCTCCACGGTGTTCCACTCGGGGACCATTTCAATGTATGAATGCCACGAAGAACAGTTTATTGATTTTATCGATTTTATCTTCATGTGTGAGGCTTCCTCATTATGGACCCGAGTTTTAAACTTTCAATATTTTACAGCTTCACCTTAGATACCAAATCGAGGACTTACACTCAAGAGCAAAGGGACGTCAGGTGCGAGTATTTTTCGGAATCGCTTGGTTGAAAAGCACAAAGCATGAAAAACGGATTGCCAACAACATCTTCTCGAATCTAGAAGGTCGCCTGAAGGTGATATTTGGTGTCGTTGAGAAGGAATATACCGCAAGATAGTATGTGACTGGCATTGCTGATACAACTTCCGATTGACTGCATTCTTTGGTTTGTTTTCTTCGGTGCTTGTTATGTTTGTGAAATTTAGATTTATCCAGATTTGCAGTACAGCTGTGATCTGCACGAGTATCTCACTCAAAGTCAAACCGAAACTTGTTTTTAGAATGTAGCAGAGTTTAATGCTAGTAGCGACCGAATCCCCTCATCGAAGCAGGCTTTTGAAGTTACGGCCTTCGTAAAATATAAGTGTGCCATGGCTGCTTTTAACCAGATTCCAGCCGGAGATACGAGCTTTCTTGTTCTTTGAATTGTTTCTGTAAGATTGTTGATTATCATTGTATTCTAAAAACCGGAACGGAATTGCGAAGAGCAACCATTGTTTATCAACGAGCTGCTGTAATCATAATTTAAATGCAATAAAGGAAGAAGAAATGATTCTTTTTACAGTGTAAATCAGTCCAATGGAGATGTGGGATTAGTGTACTGATGCATATGGTGGTTGTTACCGACGATTATCGATATCCAATAAGATCATGCCACGTGTTATTTTGAATTGAAACCGGATGGTTTCGAGTTTTTTTTCCTTTTCGTCACTACTGAGCTTAAGGTGCCGACGCTGCAACCCAAAGTTACGAACTTTATTCGTTTATCCGCAGTACCTCCATATGACATAAAATAAATCCAATTCCCATTGAGGTGGAGAGGGTTACTGCTAAACTTGATGTCTACTGAATAAACCTGGGTAATATCATTGATTGGGGGGGGGGGGGGAAGGAAAATGTACGGGAGAGGTGGTCTTGAGAAGTTCAGGAAAGCTCAATCTTTGGAACCCTTTTAGGTCTCGATAAATTCTGCCCCGAAAACCGCACCTGTTCGAGTTCAACAACATTCGCATTCTCAAAATGTGGCTGCTCAGTCTCAGCAGGAGGATCAAACTCAGGTTAAGCCGGCCACTCAGCTTGGTGGGGGTCAATCCACCTGGTTGCCTCCTGATTGGGCTATTGAGCCTCGCCCTGGTGTCTATTATCTCGACGTTGTGAAGGAAGGACAGGTGCTTGATCGAATTAAACTCGATAGGCGCAGGCACATCTTTGGGAGACAACATCATACTTGCGATTTCGTGCTTGATCATCAGTCGGTTTCATGTCAGCATGCTGCTGTTGTTCCTCACAAGAATGATAGGTCGCTTCCTTTTCTGTTTCTTTTGTATTTTCTACTTTGTTGAGATTACTAGTTGATGTTTCGAATTGACGTTGATTCTCTTCCAGTTGGCTTATATATGTTATCTGAATCGGATCTTCATCTTCATTCTTGGATATAGTATTGATTTATAAAGCTGTTACAATCTTAACAGCATATATGTAATCGATATGGGGTCAGCACATGGAACATTTTGTTGCAAATGACAGTTTTGACAAAAGATACACCAGTTGAACTTGAAGTAGGGCAATCTTTGCGCTTTGCTGCATCAACAAGAACTTATATCTTACGGAAGAATAATGTGGCTTTATTTCCTCGTCCTCCACCTCCCACCGAGATAAATCTACCCCCAATGCCCGATCCTTCTGATGAAGAAGCTGTTGCTGCGTACAATACACTTATAAATCGTTACGGTCTGAGTAAACCTGATACGATGCCAAATTCCAGTGTGTCTTCCATCTCATTATCTGGAAAAGAAGACAGCACAGAGTCAGAGAGATACGCTAAGAGAATGAGGAAACTGAAAGTGACCTTCAAGGATCACGCTGGAGGAGAGCTGGTTGAAGTTGTTGGAATTTCAGATGGTGCAGATGTAGAAACCGAACCCGGGCCCCTAGGTGTTAAAGAAGGAAGTCTTTTCGGAAAATATGAATCTCTTGTACAGACAACCGTAATTCCTAAAGGTAAGGATCAATCATCCATGAAGGAAGAAAATGTTATTCAGAAAGGTGTGACTGATAAACTGCAGGAAGTCTTGGATAAGGTAAAAAACAATACTAAAGGTGAGATTTACAATGATCTTTACGGAGAATCTTTGTCCGAAAAAGTGGGTTCTTCCAGGGCATACACTTCCGATAGTTTGACCGGAAGACAAAGGTCATCTTGTCCTACAAAAGACGCTATTACAGGAAAGCGTACTGATGTTTCAAGTGGAAGACCTGGAAGTAATACTGCCTCTACTGATGGTGATAGTGAAGATGATTTATTCGGTGACTACTGATTGAATGAAGCTGAAATGCTAATGCAACTTGCATCGTTCTTCGCACTTTGGTTCGACAAAATGACTGAAAATATGTTGTGTGAGGTAGCAAGCTATTGTTTTCATCTGAAGTTGCAGAATTTTTTTGTTGTAGTTTATTGGGAAAATTTTTCTTTGTACAATGGAATGTTCAACCCGACTACCGAGATTTGGTGATTTTAAGGATCATGTTGTCCCGGAAGAAAAATGGAAAGTAGTGGTAGAAATTTTTTGAATCCTGGTATGTTGTTCACTTGTGTTTGTTTTGTTCTTTTAGGTTTCTACTGCTGTTTTACTTGCAGGGAAAGTTATGCAGTTGTTGGCCGCACATCATCTTCTTTCTTATGATGATGATAGTCATAGGCCTTCTTTTGGTATTATTACAAGCTTACATACAATTTGTGGAAGAAGATGCAATTTACTCTTAGATTGATTTTTCATGAAATCCTCTTAAAATCGATATTAATCTAAATATTTGATGTCTCGATACTTTGATTCCCCGACAATCATATGATGAGAGTATTTTTGAAATATGTTGCTCATTTTCTTAAAAGAATGCTTCTCACCATTGCGTTTTTAAATAAATATTCAGAAACCCTCAAATCCAAAAAATATATTCTAAACTCAAAAAATATGATTTTTTAATGTTTAATTTTGTAAGTTTTAAAAATGTTTTCGAAACAATTTAAACCGATAAAATAACAGAGGATGATAAGACGAATTTATCGATATCTAAGGTGGAAGAGTATTGAATCAGCAGCATATGCCGACACTCTTGTTTTCCTCCATGAATTTAAGCATATGATTAAGTGAGTAATTTGAGAATCATAATAACATTTTTAAGAATGGAAAACCAAAGGCAGCAACGGGAAACAGCGATGATTGATCATTGACAACTTAAAGTAATCATGGCTCTCTTTTTAATGATTGAAAAGAAAAAAGAACATTCATTTATAACATCTAGATCTACAAACACTACAACTAGAAACCCAGAAATAGAATCCTTTCTCATACAAAAAATCTCCTCTTCTCCTCCACACGGTGGGTGGGTTTCATTCTCTTTTCTGTTCTTGGTTGTGGTGGTAAAAGAAATGAGCATAATTAGATAGTGGATATTATAGTAATGAAAAAACCATGAAGTTGAAGTTGAGGCATATAGTATTGGGTTTGCTCTCGGTTACAGTCATTGCTCCCATTTTTCTTTACACCGATAGAGTCGCCATCTTCGTCGATCCTGCTTCTTGTATGTAAAGTTTCTCTCTTTTTTCTTCGTTTTTATAATCATGGGTTTTGTTTTTCATTCCCCCTTGCTTGATCTCTGCAGCAAGACGCGATTTTCTTGATGATGTTGGAGCTTTTGTAAGTTTCTCTCTTTTTTCTTCTTTCTTAATGATTTTAAATAATAAGATGAATTGTTCAAGTTGAACAAACATAAATTATTTTTAAAGAAGTAACTATAATTGTGTCAATCCAATTCATACACACTTTCAGCCGGGTGGAAGAGTATTGAATCAGCAGCATCTGCCGACACTCTTGTTTTCCTCCATGAATTGTTCAAGTTGAACAAACATGAATTATTTTCTTGATGATGTTGGAGCTTTTGTAAGTTTCTTTCTTTTGGGGGTTAATGATTTTGATGGTATAGAATATTGAAGCACAAAGAAAAGTTTAATTCTTTCTTTTCTTCTGCAGATGTATGGTGATAATACCAGATGTCTCATTAACACTAGGTAGTTCAATTTTCAACATAGTAGATTAGTTCCATTTGTTGTTTATGGAAGGGAATTTTTGTTGATTGATGTCAGATCTAATTGTCTTCAATGTCTAAATTTTGTTTTAGGAAACTTTCAGGAAAGAACCCATTGGAGTCGTGTATTCTGATCAATCTACCGGTTCCTTTCCCAAAGGTGAATTTTTTATTTTGTTGTTTGCTTTTTTTAAAGAAAAAAAGGGAGCAATGTGAATTTGAATTGGTGGCGTTTGTTGATTCTCAACGACAGTGACTACGGAGCATAAGTCGACACGGGTGCTTTCTGCTACCGACGAAGGACGGCAACAGCAATTATCTAACCCCATTAGGCAGGTCGTCGATGGTGCACCTCCCAATCTCACAACTGCTATCGATTCCCATCCCAATGCCTCTAACATATCGGTAATTGCTTCCAGTTTTTGCCTACTAAAAATCGATCTGTTGTTGAGTCTTCTCGTATTGCCATAGCAGCATTTTACTTGGAATTCACGGTATCTGTTGATTTCGGTTTTTGTATGTCCTTTTGATTTTATTACTTGCCTCTTGTTCATATATTTGAGTATTTTGATACTGTTTTGGTACTATCTAAACTTGAACTGTGCCGTCTGTACTTTCTAAACCTTTGCTACATACTGTGCTTCAATTGTCACCAATACGGAAATGTCTTTGCCTTAAGCTGTTTCCTTCAAGGGATGTTAATCCGTAACCCTTTCATGCTTGTTGGTATTTTGTGCTATTCTCGTTTGCTAATGTTGTTTTGCATTTCCGAATCGTCGTTTCTACACGGCTAAGACCAGTTCCTTGATGCAGCCACATTTCAGGATTCACAATGAGAGGAAATTTTGGATCTAATTGTATGCTTAGCTAACAGTTACTATAACCTGTTTGCTTTATGAATAGGCTGTAAAGCTTGAGCAGCAACCAACTCAACCGGCTCGCAAGATTGATCAGACAGAGCGTTCAGATAACAAACATGACAGATAGACTGAACCAGCAGATGCTCAGGTGCGCCACCTCAAAGATCAGCTCATCCATGCAAAAGTATATCTCTCCCTTCCATCGATAAAAAACAACCCACATGTTACAAGGGGGCTTCGACTGCGGGTTAAGGAAGTTACACGATCTCTTGGTGATGCAACTAAGGACACAGATCTGGCAAAAAGGTAACTCTTCTTTCTGAAAATAGGATTGCTGCTCTGTTTAAACTTTCTTGGTTTTTCTTTTCATTTGTCAAATTCCTGCATTTGTTCCTTTATTTCTTCAGGTTCAATCACCTAATTTGTTAATTTTTCTCTCTTTTTTTTCCTTTTGCAGTGCCGTTGATAAGATGAAAGCAATGGATCAATCATTAGAAAAGGCGAAACAGGTTCAAGATGATTGCACTGTTGTGGTAAAGAAGCTGCGAGCTATGCTTCAGTCATCTGAAGAGCAACTTCAAGTGCACAAAAAGCGGACCATGTTCTTGACACGGTTAACTGTAAAAACTCTTCCCAAGGGTCTTCATTGCCTGCCCTTGCGCCTTTCTACCGAGTGTTATAGCTTGAATTCTTCTCAACAAAACTTTCCGAATCAGCAGAAATTAGAAGACCCTCGTCTGTACCATTATGCTCTTTTCTCTGACAATATAATGGCAGCGGCAGTTGTTGTAAACTCGACTGTTTCCCATGCTAAGGTAAAATGTAGTCTTCTACAGAGATTTAACTCCTTCCTTCAGTTGATGTGGGATAAAAAGACTGCTTGTCATTTTAATCTTAAGTTTTTCGTTTCCATCTCATTTTAATCTATACACTTATGAAGTAAATATCGGAGTGTTTGTTCGAACGCATGCATGTGTATGTTTGTATAAAACAGCTTGGTATGTAGATAATGACATTTGATCTCCCTGCTTTTTGTTGACCTTTTGAACTCATCAAATTTACTTGATTCCTTGCAGCTCCCTTCAAATCATGTCTTCCACATCGTTACGGATAGGCTTAATTATGCGACAATGAGAATGTGGTTTCTGGGTAATCCACCAGGGAAAGCCGCTATTCAGGTCCAGAAAATTGAAGAATTTACGTGGTTAAACGCAAGGTACAGTCCAGTTCTTAAGCAGTTAGGTTCTCCTTCCATGATTGATTATTACCTCAGGGCACATTGGGCTAATTGTGATCAAAATCTGAAGTTTCGGAACCCAAAATACTTGTCCATCCTAAACCATCTTCGCTTTTATCTACCGGAGATCTTCCCAAAATTAAATAAAGTGTTGTTCCTAGATGATGATATAGTGGTCCAGAAAGACCTTTCTGGCCTGTGGTCCCTTGATTTGAAGGGCAATGTTAATGGAGCGGTTGAAACATGTGGAGAAAGCTTCCATCGGTTTTATCGGTACTCAACTTCTCAAATCCCCTAATCTCAAAGAATTTCGACCCGCATGCTTGTGGATGGGCATATGGAATGAATATTTTTTATTTGGATGAATGGAGGCGGCAAAACATCACGGAGGTATATCATCGATGGCAGAGGCTGGTAAGTGATCTTGGCTAAGCAGATAGTAAAGTAGGCGTGAAAGTTCCTCACATACCAAGTTAGATGTAATTCACATATACTACGCTTAAATGGCTAGTTTAGCATTGCTTGGTTATTCGCCTTGGGTGCCTAAGCCTCCTGATCACACATTATCGTACACGTAGAGATGTAGTGCCGATGTAAATGATAGAAGGCAGCTCGGAATTTTCGTGGTTCACTATGGACATACCCTATACCTTGTACATAGTGTTATGCTGGTGTATCATCTTTGTTTTTGATTCTGAAGTTATCTTTTATACGCAGAATCGCGACCGGCAATTGTGGAAGCTGGGGACCCTGCCTCCTGGTCTCGTAACATTTTGGAAACGCACATATTCCCTGGCCAAATCTTGGCATGTGCTCGGACTTGGCTACAATCCTAATGTAAACCAGAGGGAGATCGAAGGAGCTTCCATTATACACTATAATGGCAACTTGTAACCATGGTTGGAGATCGCCATGCCTAAGTGTGGTCACTTTGGAACAAATTTGTGCAGTATTGGAGTCTTTCTGTGGTTTTTCATACAAATGCGCAGAAGTTTCTTCAAGCTTGGGAAGATCTAAATCCTAGGTCTGCTATTTGAAAGTTCATTTCTGCCGTTGTTATTTGGACTGTTTGGAAAGTAAGAAATGATATTGTTTTTGATAGAGGGAAGTTTGACCATCTTAATCTATTTTTCCTAGCAAGAGTACGACTTGCATCTTGGTTCTCAGCTAAGTTTGCAGATTCTGTTATTTCAATGGATTCTCTAATCGGGGACCCTTCTCTTGGGGATTCATGCTTTCCTCTCAACAAATCGATTGTTACTACAATTCCTTGGTCCCCCCTCCTAAGGGCTTTGTAAAATTGAATGTGGATGCAGCTACAAATTCTGATTGGAACAGCAGTGGAGTTGCGGGTATTCTAAGAGATGAGGAAGGTCTTATTCTAGGATCTTTTAAGGAGGCCACGGGTCCAGGTCCACCTATTATGATGGAGCTAAGGGCTATTCAGAAGGGCTTAATTTTCTTTGATTCAGTGAAAGGAGGTATTAATGGTCGTTTGTTGTTAGAATCAGACTGCAAATTGGCAGTGGATTGGGTTAAGAATGGAACTTTCTGCCCTCAGATTTTTGTCATTCTTGTAAGGAACATAACAATTAAGCTAAAAGAAGTTGAGGGTGTTATTAGATGGGTTGCTCGGACAGCCAATATTGAGGCTGATGGGTTGGCTAAATCCGCCATTGGCTAATTCCAGTGTGTCTTAGGGGTATTTTATGTTGGGATTTTCAAATTGTTGTAAGGGGCTTATCTTCTTGTTGTAATCTTATGTATTTTCATTAATGAAGTTTAAGGCACTCTTTTCCTCCTTCCTCTGATGAAGGAACTCATTATAAGTTCCTTATTCAAGAAGGGGGTTTTTAATGAGACCTACAATTCCTATCAAAAAAAAAAGTATAAAAGCCACTGAACAAAGTACGTAGATTACAAAACACTATAATGGCAACTTGAAACCATGGTTGGAGATCGCCAGGCCCAAGTATAAAAGCCACTGGACAAAGTACGTAGATTACGACGTCACGTATTTGCGAGAGTGCAACATCAACCCGTAGAAAAAACATTCACGGGGGACATTAAAGAGTGATGGTGAGCTATGTTAACCATGCAGATTCATCTTGATTGTCACTTCATAGGTTTATCTTGTTCAGAGGCATCTGGTTGAATTCGTGCTTGTATACATCGTTGATTTTGTTTTTGATTTTTTGGTTCTTACCGCAATGCGTAGAAGCTGTGTTTATGCGACGTTTTAGGTATTTAATCGGAAATTCAGGTGTATCATTTCACTGGCAATCCTTTCATCTCTTGTATTACTATGGAAAAACAAAGTTGTTTCATGCAGAGATTTGACATGCACCGCACACATGAATAGAGAATTCTGCATATTGATCTCAACACATCAGTTTCATCCAATCTTTTCTGTTTCATACGACAGTCGATTCGCTTACATTCTAACTGAGTTATCCTGCACTCCTAATCCCCCAGAAAAGATGTTATTACTACTTTTATTATTACTGTCAAGAATTTCCCAGTAACTTGCTAGTGCCTGAAAAGGCTAGTTTTTCTTGATCACTGCCAAGCAATTATCCTGAGGCCTTGTATGAGGTAGATACCTAATTTTACTCCCAGGGTTAAGACGATCCAGCCTGCATTGCGACATCGATCGACATTAAAACCAACGATTTTAAGCTTGAATTTATAATATAAATCATTGAAATATATCGACAATAGAAAATAAATTACTTGTAGTTGAGGAGGAAATGGTGAAGAAAGATAGAAATTTCAAGCTTGGCAAGATCATTTCCAGGGCACAGTCTGCTTCCAGCTCCAAAGGGAAGGAAAGTTCCTGCTTTGGCGTTATAGTCCTGAACATGAACAATTTTGAACTTAAGAGACCATCATTACATGCATACATACAGGAAATATGAAATGCTTTATGGATCTTACATCCCATCGGGAAGGGTCGAATTCTTTTGGATTCGGATAAATCTCAGGATCCAAGTGAATGCTTCTGAACCAAACTAGTGCTTTCCATCCCTTTGGGACAGTATAACCTGAAAAAAACGGATAACTCTATGAATGAATGATGTAAAAATATCACTACGCATGGTCCCCGACCTCAGCCGAGGACATGTATGCAGTATACATACACACATAACATTAGAACTGACCGCTTATATTGACGTCTGTTTTTGCTTCACGGAAGACCATCGAGGAGAATGTTATCAATCGAAGCGTCTCATCAATCACCTTCATATATATATATAATCAAATTAAGCATTGCAAAATAAAGGGTTCCGAATTATACTTAGCATCCAAAGACTCGGTTAAAGATGTACCTTAGAAAGGTATTCCATTTCTCGAACTTCCTTGAGATTTAAACCTTTCTGGGTTGCTGGCCTTTTCTTCAGAATCCTCTCTTGCTCTTCCTGTATACAACAATACTGTCAAGTATAACGATAAAGAAGCACACTAAAGCTCAAACAATGCTCGAAAACGAATGTTCATTTACGAAATCTAAATCGTAAATGCCACCTTAGCTATTTTTAGGTATTCAGGATATTGCTGCAGGAAAACAGTGGCCCACATTGTCGTATGGCCGGATGATTCATGGCCAGCATTCAGGTACATCAACATGATATCAATGATTTCCTCATCATCTAGTGTTACACCTTTCTCGTCTTTAACATCTATCAGGGCATCCAGCATGTCTTTCTTCTTTGTGGTGTATGTGCTTGTCTTCCTCTGCATTCTCCGCTCGGTCACCGCCGATTGAAAAGCCACCACAAGGTTTTTACGAGCCTGAAGAAAACGAAAACAAATTTCAATTTTATACTTTGCTAGCATAAGACAGTTAACTTCAGATGCAAGCAAGAAGTGGGAAATTCCCACCTTGAGGGCTTTATGGTAAGCAAACCCTGGGATATTGATTGCCATGGCTCTAACTCCATAGTTGAGAGTTGTGTACTCCCTCTCCAAAGCTTCCATCACCTCTTCGCTTTCCGAGCTTAGGAAAATGTACATGATTATCCGAAAAGTGAGCTTTCGGAGCTCGGTCAAGAACTCGATTTTCCCCATCTTAGACCATTTGTCCAGGGTAGATATCACAATCTCCTCAATGTAGGGGATGTAAATGGAGAGTGCTTCATGGCCATTGACCGGAGCCGCGGTTAAACGGCGGAGACGCTTGTGTTCTTCATACGAAATACCGATGAACGATTTCTTTCCGATTAGCTCGGTTGTGGAAGTAGGCCATCCAGGCTTAAATGCATCATCATCATTCAACACTTTCCGGCTCGTCTCCGGCGTGGTTACGATCACACTCGGGCACCCGAACATGAAGGCCTTGTAGATTCCCGTGCGTCCAAATCTGCATAATCAGTACATTAACACTGAGCTAAAACGGAATGTCTTGGAAAACAGTGAGATGCTAAAAGACATTGCAGTAGGCGACAAGAGATGCAACTGTTCCATTCTCGAGACAGGAGCTGACTAGGTCTTCAACTACAAGACACCGAGTTGAGGCTAAACTCATTTCACATGGTGTCCAAAAAAAACTACACCTTTACCTTGTATTTTATAATATTTTAAAAAACAAAATGAAAGTGGGAATTGAAGTGACCACTCACACGTTTCCATCCTTTTTAGCGAGCAAACTTTAAATCTTTACTTTTTAGTAATGAAAAGTACCTGGAAACGAAGGATCCCATGAAGGAATCGGGCTCCACGGACCGGAAAGCTCGGAGAAACGACCACATGTTGCCGATGACAGGCCAACCCAAATCCCCCGGCGGCAGAGAGTAGCGCAAATCGCCCAACGGCGATTCATACACCCACGGATTCAAGCTCTTCAGCACCCATTTCAAAAACGCAAAGGCACCCAGTGTAGCCAAGGCCACCGTCAACCACATCGAACCCATGATTTCCATTGCAGCAGCAAAAGAAGAAGAAGACACCTGTTGCTCTCACAAGGAAGTGATTAGAAACACAGTATCAAAACATATATATATAGTGGTCTGCAAAGGTAGCTTTTTTGGATTGTGACAGAGAAATAGAAGCAAAGGGCACAAAGATGGTAATGACAGCTCATATAAACAAACAAGGAAAGAATTGTTGTTGGTACCATATATTAATTATTACCATTTATTATAGGATAAAATATAAAAACATACGCGAATATTTATTTGGTAAAAAATTTATTATTTTTTGAGATTATAAATTTACATATTATAAATAGAGAAAATAACTTCAGTGACTAAAAATTTCAGATAATATACGATTTTGATTAATTTTTTTTTGAATTTACGAAAATGACCAACAAAATCGCAATGCGATCTTTAATTCGTATTGCGATCTCCACTATCGCAAATTCGCATTGCATTTCGCGTTGCGTTGCGATTTTCCATTTCGCGTTGCGATTTTTCATTTTGCGTTGCGATAGTCTACAGTTGTCGTTGCGATATTTCAAATTCGTTGCGATAGTCTACACTTGTTCCCAATACTATGTGGGATTGAGTCTTAAATAGTGATATTATTTTTGAATGTTTTGCTTAAAATTGCAATAATCGCGATTGATTGTAGATTGACTTTTAATTATGACATATTTAATCGTATAATACTAATGCAATTGGTTGCTGATTCAGTTGTTTTAAGGTGCATGATTGTTAATTGTTTTCTGAATAATCGCATTGTATTGGAAACAAGTGTTGGTAATACTCAATCTCACATAGTATTGGAAACACTATTGGGAATAGTATTTAAGGCTTAGCTTTCCCACTTCCTTGTTGAGTGATAGAGAACAAGGGGGACTCTCGCGCGCCGCCGCCGCCTCCGTCCCGTCTCGTGGTCGTGGTCGTGGTCGTGGTCGTGGTCGTGGTCGTGATAATACGTGTCTTCGACACGTCCGCGCGAATACTATCTTTTTAGAGAAAAATCTTAAGAAATAAAATCTCGTAATATTTAAAAATAACAATAATTCTTTTAATTATTAAAATAATTTGAAAATTTTAAACATATATATATGTATGGATTTAGAAAAATCTAAACATATAGTAATTATATGTTGATTAAAATACTCTCAAATATTGTTGTTTGGATTAATATTCAAATAATTATATGTATAATACATATATATTTAGAAAAATCTTAACATATACTAATTTATTATTGAGATGTATATATGTCAACCTTATCTGGATTTGTTTTTAAATTTTTATATAATTTTATATTAATGTTTAGAAAATAAAAGAAAAGAATTTAGCATTTAATTTTTTGTTTGAAATTTTGAGTTTAAGCGCCATGCATGAAGAAGTGTATGAACATTTACGATTAAATAAATTAGATAGATATTAACTCGTATTTACTCTATATTAATAAAATTTTGTGTTAAAGAGTGATTACGATAAAATCAAAAGGTTTTAGGGGCAAAATTGAGAATTATGTTAAAATGGGTTAAATTGAATTATTAAATTGCTGAAGAAAAAAAACCAAAAAATTAAATCTCACTTTGTTGAGTCAATCAAAATGATGAAACAATCAAGAGGGTGGTGAATTGATAACTAAAAACTTTCTTGAAATACAAATTACAAACTTAGGGAAAACTCACTGAGAAAATGTTTGCATAATTAAAAAACAAATAAAAATAAATGAGTACAAAAGTGTTTTATAAAAACAAAAGGAATGTTGAAGGATGGTATCGATACCCCTTCACATATAACTTGGAATCTTGTTTTGATACATCTTCATTCGATTATAGTTGTTTGAGTTGTTATGGGAGTTAATAGATTTGTTTGGATGAATTTTTTCGCAATAAATGTTGTCCAGATGTCTTGAGTACCGGTACACGTGCTTGGAGTATCGGTATTACTTGCATTAAATACAAAAATCTAACCATTAGGGAAGGGGAGTATCAATACTCATCAAAAAAAGTATCAATACTGGTATCGATGTTTGAATGAGTATCGGTATCAAAATGGTATACTGGAATTTATATTTGCAAAAAAGATAAGGAGCGTATCGACACTTCCACTTTGAGTATCGATATTGGTATCGATACTATAATATCGATATTAAAATAGCTTATTGGAATTTGCATGACACAAGGAGTAGCAGTACTACTATGAGCAGTATCGATACTCCCTTACATGTTTAAGCTATTTGTATAGATATTGTATTGTTCTTGCAGTAACGGTACTGTTGAGTTAAAAATTAATTTTTTAACTCGATTAAAATTTAAAACCCTGTAAAAATATTTGAAAATTATTTACATTATATGACTCGATTTTCAATAAAACAAGGAGTAAATTGAAATTCTTGATCTTAAAAAAATTATATTTGAATGATCGAATCAAATATAATTACTTTTAGTATATCAAAATATGCCGAACACACACTTTAATCGAAACTGAAAAAATGTATTATTTATCATTCATGAAGAATTAAAAGTGCCATGTACCATGTAACAAAAGGGTCAAGGCCATCCCGTAATGTGTCCTTATGATTATTTTTCATATTTTTAAAGTATTATAAATATATATATATATATATATATTTGAATAAATTAATAATTAGTTTTATATAAATTTTGATATGTTTCCATACATGTGTTTTTGTTATTTTACACTTTTTATAATTTATCATCATAATAATAGTGGAATCTATTAAGTAATTTTATTGATTAAAGAGATTATTATTTTTCTGAAAATCTTGAATTCAATTAGTTATTATTTTTATTATTTCAATTTAATCTTGTTTAAAATTCATACATTTATAAACTAAAACAATCATAAAAATATTTTTTTGATCTTTAAAATTTTAATCTTTAAAAAATAATGTGCTATAATATATTTGTTTTACATTTGTAGAGGTATTTGTGTTACAATCATAAAAAAAATTAGCCAGGTTAAGAACTCAATTTTCCCCATCTTAGACCATTTGTCCAGGGTAGATATCACAATCTCCTCAATGTAGGGGATGTAAATGGAGAGTGCTTCATGGCCATTGACCGGAGCTGCAGTTAAACGGCGGAGACGCTTGTGTTCTTCATACGAAATACCGATGAACGATTTCTTTCCGATGAGCTCGGTTGTGGAAGTAGGCCATCCAGGCTTAAATGCATCATCATCATTCAACACTTTCCGACTCGTCTCCGGCGTGGTTACGATCACACTCGGGCACCCGAACATGAAGGCCTTGTAGATTCCGGTGCGTCCAAATCTGCATAATCAGTACATTAACACTGAGCTAAATGTCTTGGAAAACAGTGAGATGCTAAAAGGCATTGCAGTAGGCGACAAGAGATGCAACTGTTCCATTCTCGAGACCGGAGCTGACTGGGTCTTCGACTACAAGACACCGAGTTGAGGCTAAACTCATTTCACATGGTGTCAAAAAAAAACTACACCTTTACCTTGTATTTTATAATATTTTAAAAAACAAAATGAAAGTGGGAAATGAAGTGACCGCTCACACGTTTCCATCCTTTGTAGCGAGCAAAGTTTAAATCTTTACTTTTTAGTAATGAAAAGTACCTGGAAACGAAGGAACCCATGAAGGAATCGGGCTCTACGGACCGGAAAGCTCGGAGAAACGACCACATGTTGCGGATGACAGGCCAACCCAAATCCCCCGGCGGCAGAGAGTAGCGCAAATCGCCCAACGGCGATTCATACACCCACGGATTCAAGCTCTTCAGCACCCATTTCAAAAACGAAAAGGCACCCAGTGTAGCCAAGGCCACCGTCAACCACATCGAACCCATGATGTCCATTGCAGCAGCAACAAGAAGAGGAAGAAGAAGAAGACACCTGTTGCTCTCACAAGGAAGTGATTACAAACACAGTATCAAAACATATATATAGTGGTCTGCAAAGGTAGCTTTTTTGGATTGTGACACAGAAATAGAAGCAAAGGGCACAAAGATGGTAATGACAGCTCAGATAAACAAACAAGGAAAGTATTGTTGTTGGTACCATATATTAATTAGTACCATTTATTATAGGATAAAATATAAAAAATATACTATAAATGTTAAAAATATAAATGTTTAATCTAATCTAATTAAGAATTTATCTTTGAATAAATAATATTTTTTATTAAATTAAAATGATTATAAAATAGTATATGTTCTAAATACTCTTAATTATTTAATAACAAACGTTAAATCACCCCCACAATATCGTAATATTTAAAAATAATAATAATTCTTTTAATCATTAAAATGGATTAAATTGAATTATTAAATTTCTGGAAAAAATCAAAATTTAAAACTCACTTTGTCGAGTCAATCAAAAAATGATGAAACAATCAAGAGGGTGGTGAATTGATAAGTAAAAGCTCATTTTCTTGAAATACACTCTCAAAGATAAAATTATAAATTACGAACTTAGAAAAATCTCGTTAGAAAAATGTTTGCGTAATTCAAAAACAAATAATAACACTTGAGAAATAAAAACAAATGAGTAGAAAAGTATTTTATAAAAACAAAATGAATGTTGAAGGATGATATCGATACCCTCTTCACATATAACTTGTAATCTTGTTTTATTTCTAAAAATAATATTTGCAATTGTCAAAGGTAATATGTATGTCTTGATGTGACAATTTTCCAAAAAATACCATAAATCTTTTTATTGGTCTACACATTAAATTTTGTTAAATTTCAAGTCAATGAGTTAGCTGAAAGCAAATATATATATATGCATATATAGTTGCGTACGTATATGTTAGTGTTTTTTTTTTTTTTTTTTATGTTTCCCATATTCAAAGAGATTCATTTTCCAGGGAAATAAAATAAAGGTTTCAGCCTCTCGTGTCCGGTCTGCTTTCAGTTTTTAGTTTAGCAAAGAATTTGTAAACTGATAAGTGATTAATTTAGTTAATATTTTGATTTTAAATTATTTTTTAATTATTGGTTTTTGTGACTTCATTATTCGTTTTTATTCATTTTCTCTGCATGACGTCGGATTCTGAAAATTGCTCTAAAAGAAAAGAATTCTGCAGTTTTTATTTTATTTTCGAAATCGAAACTGGATTAGTGGGCATGAATTAGGACATGAAACATCTGACGAGGCGATGACATCAACACCTTCTAGAAGATTCAGTCAGCGTTTCTAGAAGCAATAATAGATTGGCCGCACGTTTCTGTAATTCGGATTTGAATTAAACTCAAGTTTTAGGATAATATTTTTTATCTTTGTTTTAGGTATTTTAGTTTAAATATGTTTTAATATTTTAATTAAATTTTAGGATAATATTTTAAATATTATATTTTATCTTTGTATTTTAGTTTAAATATGTTTTAGTATTTTAATTATGATTTATAATATTATTTTAAATAGTATTTTCTTTTATATTTGTTTTAGGTATTTTAGTTTAAATAATTTTAAGAGTTTTAATTAGGATTTAAATTATTATTTTAGAAATTATTTTTAACTTGTTTTAGGAAATTGAAGGCTATAAATGAGCATAGAAACATATCTCTCATATGAGAATTAAATCTATATTTTCTCTCTAGTTTTCTCTATATTTTCGCACACTTCTTTATTCTTCTTTTAAAATTTCGTTTTCAACAATTGTTAAGTATGACTTTAGTCATCCTTAGCTAATTTTTTTTCAAGCCGAAGGCTAAAGCGAAGACTCAATTCCAAATGTGAGAATTGTAAGGTACTTAAATCGCTTCAGATTTTTCTCTCTGTTTTCTAAACTTACTTTTTAAATCAAAACGATTTCGACATTGGTCTGGATGCTATTATGGTTAACGTTTGAAGAAAGATTGTTTATTGAAGCACATTCGACTTCCTAAGAACAAATTTAACAAAATTGTTTGTTAAGAGGAAACTAAGATCGGAATCAGTTATTGTTGAAACGACATAATCAAAGTTGGCAGTGAAGAATTGTCCTTGTAAGCCGACGTTAAATCTTGAAGTAAAAATCTATTTCGATGATCCGAGGAATTTGAGGCAAAGTTGAAGTATGATGCTGATTTCACTATAAGTTTCTCTTTATCTCAATCTCTTAGATTATTTATTTAATTATTTTCTTTTATTTAATTCTTATATTTTATTTTTAAAAAAACTTTTAAAAACCCCTTTATCTTTACTACTATTATTTATTATTTTATTATTTTCCCTTTTTATTTATTATTATTTTTTTTAAAAATTATAATTATTTATTTTATTATATTATATCTTTTCAACTTTATCTCGAATTCGATCCTCCTCTAAATCAAAGAGTTTTACTAAATCACAAAAATCATAATCCCTGTAGATCGACTCTGCTTCTCTATACTACCATTTTCTTTCTATTTATTAAGAAACCATGAATTATTTTGATAACAAAACGACGGTTATCATAAATAGATTCAGGAGCATAAGGTTGTCGGGGATCGATTTTGTTTCCCATACACGACGGAGCTTTTCATGAAGGAGTAAATACAATCGTTTTCCAATTCACACTGTGACGTTTCCGACACCACCGGAAACACCCTGCTTTGAGTCGACGGAGGTGCTTGGAACATAGAGCGGCAATGGGTTATAACGGATCCTGCCGGTATTTCCATCATCACTCTACGTGATCATGTCAGCAAGACCCGGAAATTCCAAACATGATACGATTACACGATCCGGGACGAAGTTATATTTTGATCACATAATTTTAGTTTATTTTTATTTTACTCCTTATTTTCTAGTGTTAATTATAATTTCTCTCTTTTGAGTCGGTATCCATGTCTAGTAAATGAATAATGATGTTATAGGGTAATGGAAAATCGCAGAATCCAATTTCGTGGAAACAGGAATTGCGAATTCACGAAGGTGAAAGCTCAGATTCGAACCACTTTCTCTTCCGTGTGAAACTATCGAGTGGTTTTAATCACTGAAATTTATTGCATTGGATTTTTTCAGTCACTCCCCCGTTAACAACAAAAAAGCCACGTCATAACACTATTAGTGAGAAAACGATCGAGTGACTAAAAAATTTAATGTATTAAATCCAGTGAAGAAATTAAAAGATTTAAAGTACAGTGAGTGAGTACAATAGGAGAGTGTAAAATTCGGTTATCAAATTTACAACTTGAAAATAAAATTTTCCAAAAGCTCTCCACACGTTAATACATTTCATGGTTCATTCATTCAAACACTCAATTAGCATAACAGCTTCTTATTGGGCTTTAAACTTCATTTTTTAATTATTTCTTACATCAGTTCTTATCTATGCCTTTAAATTGTTTAATGAACTTGTTTAATAACTGTAAAATTTTATTGGTTTACAAATTAAATTTTGCTAAACTTCAAGTCAATGAGTTGACTGAAAGCAAATATATATATATATATATATATATATATATATATATATATATATATATATGTATGTATGTATCTACATTTGCCTACGTATATGTGATTTTTTTTTTTCAGTTTCCCATGTTCAAAGAGATTCATTTTCCAGGAAAATAAAATGGTGTCCGGTCTGATTTCAGTTTAGCAAAGAATTTGTAGACAGATTCAGGAACATGGCAAGTAACCATGAGATGGTGAAGGTTGTCGGGGATCGATTTTGTGTCCCGTACACGATGGAGCTTTTCGTGAAGCAGAAAATACAATGGCTTTCTAGTTCACGCTACGACGTTTCCGACACCACCGGAAACACTTTGCTTCGAGTCCACGGCGGTGTCTGGAACTTAAAGCGGAGAAGGGTTATGACGGATCCTGCCGGCTCCCCCGTCATCACTCTACGGGAAAAGGTCAGCAAGACCTGAAAATTCCAAATACAACACGATTACACGAGCATAGACGAAGCCATGCTTTGACCTTCTAATTTTAGTTTATTTTGATTTTTTTTTTCTTTGTTAACTTTATTTTACTTACTTTGAACTTGTATCGTAAATTCACGAGTCCATCCCTAAGAGCATTGTTTTTATGTTTAATTAATGAATAATGAAAAACTTCAGAAACCAATATCGTGGAAACAAGAATGGCGAATTTACGACGGTGAAAGCTCGGATTTGAACCACTTTCTCTTCCGTGTGAAACGATCGAGTGGTTTTCGTATCAACAACCTCGATGTTTACTTAGAAAGCCGAGGCGAGCAAGGTGCCGGCGATTTTCAAGTGATCGGGAATATTACTTCTCTTTCATTTACAGTTCGGAGAGAGAATTCAATCATTGCCGAGGTATAGGTTTATAATTTTTCTTAACTATTGATAATGCATACACATATTGCAAATACAACTGTTCTAACCCGATATCTCTAGAGATAATAACATTCTTTTAACTATTGAAGTCATTTAATATATATATATATATATATTAATTGAGATTTACATGGAAAAGCACAGGTTAGCCACAGCTTTACATGGAAAAGCTTTATCGGCAGAGAAAGATTCAAAATAAAAGTTAATGCAGAGGTGGACTATGCCTTCATTGTAGCTTTGGTGGTGATTATTCTAGAAAACAATAACAGATAATCTTCATCGGGCGAGGACAGACCTTGTAATCCATATAATGTACAATAAGAATTAGAAACAATAATCAATCGTTATAACATGTCGTATTTACTAAAAGAAAATTTGGATTGAGAACAGACCTTTTATATTTACAGGTGATCAGGGATAGATTAAGGGGTCGGGTGAGGACAGTCGTCTCTCTGAAAATTTAAAATTGTCATGTATTTTAAACATTTCAACTCCGAAGCATTATGTTAAGGTTATTTGTTCGTTTCATTTTCTGTCCAAATCCAAATTATTTGAAGCCAATTTATTTTAGACCTATATTTGGAGGTTTTTTTCCAATACCTCAAGCGGGTAAACTAATTGGCTCAGCCACGCTCGAATTTATTTTGTAATCTATGACAAATATTATGGTAACGGGTACACTCGTTACGTCAATGTGACAAATTTATTTGAAAATATATTTTTAATGGTCTCAGGTAAGTAGACCATATAGACCAATATTTTAATAAATTCAGAGGAATTCGTTACGTCAATGTGATGAGTCTATTAAAAAATTATTTTTTAAAATCATTTAAAAAGAAAATTTTGAAAAATTCATCACGTCGAGATGATGAGTTTGCCTTGAATTTTAAAAAACTAGTTGTTTATAGTCGTTGTGCAACGGACAATTGCAATGGTCGAATTTCAACGGACATCATGGAACTCGTCCCCTCGAGGCGACGAGTTTGGTGGGACTTTCGAAAAAAAAACTAGTTGTTTATGCCGTTGGGTTTGGGGTTATAAATGAGTTTGGGGTTTAGGTTTTTTATTGTATTTTGTTAAGAAGAAATATAGAGAAATTCGTATATTCTGAAAATTTCCTGAAAAATGTCTACCCAAGATGAAATGTTACACCTTGATCATGTTCATATTTCTTCACTCGAACTCGGCCCGGAAGAAGAACGGGGCATTCGTCAGCGAGGAATGACACTGAGACACATACTTTTAATTTTCTGAGTGTTTAAATGATTATTACGTTGGAAGATGTCGGCTTACCGATTCGGTGTTCCGGTTAACGGTGCAGTACTAGTGAGGCACAACGATTTCAACTAGTATGGCATTGTTCACTAGGTTTTGGGAAAGACCACCATCAGAGGTCTTAGAGGGATCCTGGATACATATCACTTGGTTGGAGTCTAAATTTAATGTGCCAAACGACTCTACCAGGGATGAGGTTATTTTTACAGCCTTCGCATATTTGCTTTAATTGATTGGAGGGATATTGTTACCAGATGAATCTGGTAATTTGGAGCACATTCACTATCTTTCGATATTGGAGAATTTTATTGAGTGTCGCAACAAGAGTTGTGGTTCGACGATTTTGACTTTCTTATACTGGGAACTTTTCAAGGTTACAATGGTCGAACGGGGTCAAAAAGTTCATGCAACGGGCTGTCAAGTCCTGCTAAAATCGTGAGCATGGTATCAATTTCCTTTTTTACGCTAATTACAGCAGTCTCGATTGAGTTTCCTCTCGTTGCAAGGTAATTTTTTAACATTGTTTTTTTTAGTAAAATTTTAAATTTATTTTTGTAGGCTTTTTGTAATTTTTATTTTTATATTATTTAGATAGTGACATAAAATTACCAAGACTAAGTTGTCAGGTACAACTAAAATAGATATATGAATGAGGATCGATATTTCCATTCGACATGCAGTAAATATTAGTTTTTTTTTTAATTTTTTAAACTTTATTTATACTAAATTTTATAATTAATGTTTACAGTTTTCTTGGATATCGTATTATGATGATGATATCTACCGGTTACTGCCATCGGAATTCTTTCAAGCCTCAGAGTTGTAGTGTGTCATTACACCTTTGCTACACTTTGCGATTGTTGAGATGCACGTCGTAGATAGAGTGTTGCGACAATTTGCGTCTTATAAACTGATTCTCACATAAATATTTGATATGGACACGCTCCATAGAATTGATACACGTAGAAAGCATAAAGATAATTGGCCGAGGAAGCATGATGTCTACATTGAGAAATAAAACCAGCGTCATTTTTCAGTCCCTATTCGTTACGAGATTATACACACTTACCTTGATTTTGACATCTCCCTACCTCCGAAATTATGAAGCAAATGAGAAACCATATTTAACGACATCGAAAAAGTGGGAAGAATGAGAACAAGCCTATATCATGCTTCAATGGAGAGTCAATCGAATTGGATTAAAGGTTCATAGGATGCAATACAAAGCACTCAATCATCTTCGACCGAACATGCGAATAAGGGTGAATGAGATCATGTTATATATGGTCAACAAGGTAGTAAACTTAAGTCAATGACAGCAATGATGAAGTCAAATACCATAAGCTCATCACCATATTTCGAAGGTTGATCTCAAAATGGAGTGATATTCAGTACATATCCTCTTCAAGTAGCCAATGAAGATGAAGACGATCAAGGCAGACGACCCCGACTTACTCGACGAGCCTCGTGTCATTATCATTCGACCACTTCTCGACATCGTCAATAACTATGAAAATATAAATAAATTTTATTATTCATTGTATTAGTTAGTAAGAATTATTTTATTATTTTTTGTAATTAAATTATTTTATATTTATTTAATTTTTTAATATTATTTTTAATTAATATATTTTTTAAAATATATATTCGAAGAAACTCATCACGTCGACGTGACGAGTTTCAACGGTTAATTTTTTAAAATTTCAAAAGTTTCTCGTTGCACAACGACTAGTTAATAAACAATTTCAAAACCGACAATCAATTGGTCTAGTGGGATGATACACTAAATTTCTTAAGCAATATCAAGGGTTTGAATCATGGTGATTGCGAATGGAGTAAACTGGGTTAAGAGGGTCGTCCTTGCCTCTGCTGTATTTGATCCGGATTAGTCGATCAAAAGATCAGATATTGGTGGTTATAAAAAAATACAATTTCAAACGGTACTTAATAATGTTTTTGAGTTATTTTCCTTCTTAATAATGTTTTTGAGTTATTTTTCCTACTTAATGACCTTGTCGAATCGTGCCCATTTACCGATGACTTTGGCGACAAATACTGATAATGACCTACGTATAAATCTGTTCAATCAGTTTACGTGTAGATATAAAAGAGTAACGAATGGAGAAATTTTAAATAATTAAGAGTTAATTGAATTACACATCCCTAAACTATTATTCAAATTTTAAATTAGTCTTTGAACTTTTAATATTCTAATTTCACTCTTAAACTACAATTCTCATTGTAAATTGGTCACCGGACTTTTGAGTGCTTCAAATTCATCCCCAAACTATGACTCTCAATCTATATTGGTCTCCGAACTTTTGATTATTTCAAATTCACTCTCAAACTTTTGAATGCTTATGAGAGGTATTATTGAAATGTTCAAAAGTTTGGGGACGGAACTAGAATGAGGGTCATAGTTTAAGGATTAATTTGAAATATTTAAAAGTTTTGGGACTAATTTAGAACTTATCATAGTTTAGGCAACAGTCTAAAAATGAGGGCCATAGTTTGAGGATGTGTTGTGAAATTAACTCAATAATTAATTGTGTGCAAAAACATGATAAACAAAATGCCCTTTTGGGGTTCGAACTAGCTTGTAATTATGCTTAGGGGGCAAAATTATTCTCCATGTCTTCTTAATTCTATCAATAAGAAATTTGGTGCAACGACTCACAGAATATTCCCAATTTTATTAATAAGTCCAGTTGATTGAATTGTTTTATTAATAATGTACCACGAGGGATTTGCAAGTTGTTCGGGTCAATCCGAAGCCCAAAGTTGAGCCATTACATCTTATTCTATTATTTGGACCAAGTTGTTGTTAGTGGACTTGAGTTAGGACCCAAGAGAGTTAATGAAGGGAGATGAGTAATTCATGCTAATAAAAGTAAATTAACTAAAAGTGTAGTTTACTCGTAGCTATTTTGGAAGCTGAAAATCCCTCCTTATATTATGTTTTCACCGTGAACAACCCCCTTACACAACTCACCAAACACTCTTACTATCTTCTCATCTTTCTTTAAGTAAGAATCTCAAAGAAATTCAAGCTTAGTTGGATCCATCCAAGGTAAGATTATTAAACCTCATCCTTCTAGCTTCATTTTGAGTTCCCTTTCACTAGTTTTTATCCATAGAACCAAAAATGGGTCTTGAGAGATTTGTGGGAATCTATGGATTCTAACTAAGTTTTGAGTTATAGGGAGTTTGTTTAGATGTTATTCAACCCCTAGATGGATTGGTAATCCATTTTCTCATTTTGTTTAGTGAAGGAGATAGGAGAAAGCTCACGAGCTAAAGGAAAAGAAAAGTTGAATCTTGAGTGAGTTGAGAAAGTTTCTAGCCATCCAAGAAGCAAGGTAACATCTTTACAACTCTTCCATGCACTTATTGAGTCATTAGAAGTTCAACATAGTTTAAATGGTTGAGTTGAGCATGATAAGCATTTTTATGGTGAAATTCTTCTTTTAGAGTTATAAATGTGTTTAAAGCCTCTACTATGACCCTTGTTGATCAAATAAAACTTTAAGCATGTTTGGGGACCGCACTAAGGTCTTTGGGGATTGAATTATAGCATTTTAGTATGTGTTATATGATTTATGTAGGTAAAATATAGATACTATTGGGATGTTATCGATACTAGTTCTTCGTTTAGGGAAATTCATGAGTTTTTGGGCAAAAGTATCGATACTCTTTCAAGAGTATCGAAACTTTGGGTCATAGTTTCGAAACTCCCATAAAGTTTTGAAACTAGGCATAACAGAATGTTTAAAAGTATCGATACTTTTATAAAGTATCAAAACTTTTGCAGTAGTATCGATACTCTTGGGTTAGTATCGATACTTTCAGTCTGTTTTGGGCAAAAATATCATTTTTTAAGGGAATTAGACTCGAGGTACATCAACACTTCTTTTTATCATCAAATAAGACTGCAAGTGAGAATATTAATGATATTAATTACACTTAGAAACAAGATTTATTAGGATGACAAAAAAATAGACTTGGATGATGCTCCGGAAACGACTAGGACACGTGAGTTCCTTTAGAAAATGCTAGCATTATCGAAAGTATAGATTCAGTCTGGAAATATCCTTAGGTAGGGCCGATGTAACACCCTTAACCCATATATGTCTCGATATACGAGTTAAAGATGTCACATCAACTAAATACATTTACTGAACTGAAATTTTCGTAAAAATTTGTTTCTTTGAAAATACTCTTGTTCTAACTTTAAAAATTTATTTTAAAGTATATTTCAGATTATAATTTATTTCTTTATTATAGGAAAATAAATTCATTATTTATTCAGTAATTTTACTAAACCATGTCTTTTCGTAAAACATTTTAAAAACATAATAATATAATAAATTTTTTGTCATGCATAGTTACCAATAAAACTAAACTAAGTAGAATAAACTAAAATAGTTCTAGTTTACTATTACAATTTATTTAAAATAAATACGATAATTAGAAACTATTGACATAATTATACATGCCACTATAAGTCAAAAGAAACATCATAGATGTCTTACTGATACTGATGATATGTATGTCTTTCCAAAAGATGCTCCGATAGCTCCTTACTGATCGTACTTATCATTACTAGAACCTACGCATGAAAATCATCACGCGCTAAGTATAACTTAGTGAGACAGTAATAGTAAAGGTGAGAATAATTAAATAAAAAATCGAAATATATAAAATCATTAAAATAAAACAGACTGAAATTCTTCAGAACATTCAAACCAGATATCTCATGTTGAACTTTATAATAAACCTGAAAATAATCATCTGATAATTTTCACAAGATCATAAAAAAAATCAGATCAGACAGAATAATCAGTTCATAATTCTTTGTAGTCAGACACTTTTCAGAACTTTCTTATTTCATTTTTATAGCCCAAAGTATATTTTAAGAGAATATAAGATACGCGAGTCAGATGAGTGTGCGCAATACAGATATCAGATCATCAGTCGAAACAGATAAGCACACACTGTGCTATCACATCGGAAATAACAATATGCACACCAAGTGCATTCAGATCAGAATATATATATATATATATATATACTAGTGTACACTCTGATACACCACAATATATCAAAATCAGAACATATAATCACTCCACCTCATGACATGCCAATTGTACCTATGACTCTCCATATAACATACAGTGGGCTTTTTAGTCATTTCGTAATCATTTGATAAAAAAAATCATATCATAATCAGAAATATATTTAATTCACATTCGTAAATTATGACATGGGCAGTTCATACCCAAAATCATTCATAAAACTTATTAACAATATTACGGATATACTTCCATAGTCAAAACATAATTCGTATATTTGAAATAACTAATGTGAGGTTGACTTATCGCAAGTCATCCTCGATCAAATAATTAAATAAATAAATTGCACTCACATTTGTCTCACTACAGAACTTGTATACGATAATACTAGTCACAAGCTTTGTCTTTTCCTTTCAGATTGTTCAGATTGCTAGTTTTATTGTAATCTGACAATACCAAATTATAACACAAAATATTTAAACTACATATTAGTATCATTCTAACATAAACTCATTTTTTTACATTTGAAAATCTATAGAATAAAATTGATAACTAAATCGATATCAACCTAACTCATAACTCCATTATAACTTCAAACCACATATTTTGAATTCTTTCTAAAATTCAACTCAACATTTCCTTTAATTCATAATGATCCTTCGCCATTATGATAATTGTACATTAATTACTAAAATTCCAGCACTTGAATAAAATACCCAAATAATACTTCTTCATTTAAGAACTTGTAAACAAGTCCCCAAAGTTTTGAAACCTTTCGAATTCCACCATCTAACCATTAAAATGAATTCTTTTAGAATTCTTCTCAACATTTCCAATTTATTCAAAATGGTATCTTGCCATTTAACTTCAATTCCAAGCATCCAAAAATATACTCAACATTTAAACATTATTCTTCATCTTCTAATCCATTTCAACTTAAATTCTAAAAATTTCCATATTCAGACAACTTGTACTATCTTTAAAGAATCAATATTTTGTACTGATATACACACTGAAATTTAATTCTGTTTCTTCCATTGAAAAATATACTCGAATATGAATCTATCCATATAAAGAACTCCTTCTAATTCATTATGTATAATTTATAGTGAATTTTTAAAGTTGATCAACAGAATCTGTTTTGTGCAAAATATGCTACTCGTTTTTCTGACCTTTCCTCAGTTAAAAATTCATATCTTTTTGTATACACCTTGAAATTGATTCCTGTTTGTTTTAAACAAAACTATATTGATATATGAACATAATATATAAAAATCACCTCCAAATAATTTTTATAGAATTTCTGGTGAATTTTCAAACTCATTGCCAGATTCGAAAATCTAAACTGTTTTCATTAATTTGCATCCTTGGTTCTTCTTCAATTCTTACAACACTTCTAATATCAAGAATTGATCTTTAATCATAAAAATCACACTTACCCTTCATCAATATCTTACCAACTTGAGCATAAAACATGAAGATTTTTATGCCAAATGAAAGAGAAATTCATGTAGGTTATTTTATCTTTAATAACCTAACTTAAAATTCTAATAAAATGAACCAAAACTTTAAAAGCAAATCCTCTCACCTTGTAATTTGAGTCTCACGGCTGCTGGAGAAAGAAGAAACTGAAATTTTCTTCAATTTGCTAAACCTTATCCCTTAATACACATGTCATTATATAATATAAATGAATATTAAATTCATTTAATACACTTTATCATGTTGCCCTTAATAAATCTTGAAAATTACCAAATGCCATTGTATTTATCTTCCAATAAAATATTCTTTGGTCAAAGATGATACAACTTGACTTTGACTTTCGAAATTGACCATGTAATTTTCAAAAATTACATTTTAGTCACTAAAATTCCATTGTTCGGTCAAATCTGAAAAATTACACTGTTCTGAGCCAAATTTCTCTGATCAAAAATATGAAAATAATATTTCCAACCATTTTATAACATCCTTCAAATTTTCGTAAAATTCCGGTTCGATCTGATTATCTGATTTCACTATTGAAATTTAATGCTTTATAGCTTTTATCACAATTCCCGTACCAAAAATATGACCACTACTAAAATCTCTGTTTTAATCCAAATTTTTCATTTACAGACATAAAATATATATAATTTTTAAAAATTACAAATTTTGGGTCCTAAACTTTTCAAAGTTTATACTTTAGCCACTATACTTTCAAAACTTACATTTTAGTCACTGGTCAAAATTTGGGGTATTACAGCCGAGGCCTTAACATTGTTTAGAATAAAGGGTGGGTTAGTCAGGGGTATGGTTTTTGAGGTATAGAATTTTGGGGGCCATATCCAGGGTAGACTATAAGGGTGTGTGAGATCCGAGATGCAGAACCCTCAGCCGCACCATTATGTCTACCATAACGTAAACAATGAGTATTCGATAATACTCACTAAAGCAGATTTAAAGCAAACTAGATTGGGCGCAAGATCCAACACTTAATGAGTGGGCCAGTAGAACAGAACAGATAGCGGTAGACTTGATAGCTTGAGCATGCCACGAACACTTTTAGTATGACTCAGTTGTTAGTTTGGTACTGGGCTAGTTAGCTCAGCGTTTGGAATTTGTTTCCTTATGCAGGTTAGTCGAGAATAAGTCCGAGGACTTTTTGACAGCAGTGATCCAAACCAGCTAGTGCAGAGTACGTCTCGAGTTCATCTTTAGAGGGCATGTAAATTTGTAAACCCCACTATGGTTTTTATGATTTAAACATTATTTTGGAAGCTCCTAATGTAAACTATTTTATTTAAATTTTAGTTGATTATTTTAGCATGAGTGGTTACAAATGCTCATTTAAAAAATTTGGTTAGCCACTCCAATGGTTCCGTGTAGCATTTTGATCGATCGACTGTGTATCGTGTTGGTTTAGGGCGTTACACGTTCAAATTCATGAATTTAATTTTAAAGAATAGGAAGACAAAAGCAAATTGGGTATGCCCTTGATTTGGTACCCATCATTGATCTTATCTGATTCAGTGCCTATCATGTAATATTTATTATGACTTATTTAATATATTTTTTCGATTTATCAAAATTTGATCACCATATCTCATAAAAATTTTAAAGTTAATCTAATTATCAGTAAATGCGAAAATTTAAATTGTGATTTTTACTTATTTTTAACATAAATTTTGAATTATTGATTTTTGTTAATTCTCAACATATAAATTGATGAATTGTTGACTTTCATTTTAACCAATTTTTAGGATATTATAAAATATAGGGTAAAGAATGTTAATGATCCCTCGATTATATGTATTACTTTATTAAGTTCATCGACTATTAAAAGTCATAAAATGATCTTTCAACTATAGAATGTTATTTTGTTTAGTCGCTCGACTATTACATCGTTGTTATTGTACATAATAAATCTAATATTTTTTTCAAAAATTAGCAAAAAGATAGGAGATGTCATATAATTTAAAGTAATGAATATAATTCTCGTAGTATTTTTCTTTTAATATAACCTTTAAAATCAAAATAAATAAATTTAATGTAGTCTTTTTATTTATTTATTTATATTTATAATACTCAAGGGTGCAACTGATCAGAGAGCGTGAAATGACTAAATTGCCAGGACTAGACCCGGCACGGATTTCCCAACCCTGTTGGAAAAGCTGCTCTCCCAGACGGAAGGACAATGCAGCGAGGTAATCTCGGCCGTCGATGACGACGGTGACGGATTGTAATCGGACGGTGGAGATTGTGTCGAGTTCCCGAGTAAAGTGACGGTGAGAGAAGTGTTCAAATACTTCCTCACTTGGTTGATTATCCCATCCGTGACGGTCCAAGAGTGAACCCAGGTGGTTGAACGGCTATGATCGCAGCCTTCGACGATGACGATGGATCCGAAGGTGGTGAGCGAGAGAGGGTCAAACTCGAAACGGAAAGAATCGTCGGAGGAAGCTCCGGTGAGAAGGCGCATCAAAAACTGATGAGTCGGGGGACAGTGGAACCACCATTCGAGGTCGGGGGCAAGGATTTTGTGGACGGCGTCGACGTCTCGAGTGTTTAAGGCCTCATAGAGGGCAATAACCACCTTCTCCTGCGTGTTTGCCAGTTCTTGAAGAAGAAGAATCTTCTGGGCTGAGATTTCTCGAGAAGAATGGAAAAACAAAACCAGAGAGAAACAGGCATGGAACTTTTGTGAGGATGAATGAGAGTTTATATAGGAAAAATGAAGACGCCTACTTGGCTTTGATTCTCTACGCTCGTTTCTCCTCCCGTATTCTACTCTCAAATTTTGGATTATTTTAGTTAAAACAATCTCGTATTTGTATTATATGTTTAAATTAATCGAGTTTATTGATTTAATTTTTTTAAGTCGGGTCATTATGAATTTCAATCATATATAACTTCAATAATTTTGTGTTTGAAATTATTTTTAATTTTAAAATTTATTTTGAAATTAATATCAAGTTAAAGTTAAGTCAATTGAGATTCAAGTTTAATATTAATAATTGAATTATTATATGATATATTGTCAATGAAAATATTTTATAAATAAGGATTATTGGAATATTATTAAACATTTTATATTTATTTTTTAAAATTATATATATATTAAAAGATAATTATTATGATTTGAACACTGTTCGATTTTTTTTCATTTGAATAATATATAAAATAACAACTCTTATTAATTTTGCATGATAGAAATTTAATTGGATTGATAATTTGAATTAAGAAGGGTAATTTTACATAAATAGTAATATTTCTTAAATTATTTAATAAAATAAAACAATAACATTTATTTTCGGGTTTAGTATACCATATAAGTGAAGGACACATCCAACCGATAATATTTTTAAATGATTGATCGCGTCTTTTATCTACATAACACATCGAATCATCAAAAAAAAATATTAAATTCGAGATTATTTATGTAAAAATAATGTGAAATTTTATTTAAATAATTTAAGTAGTGATATTATTTACGTAAAAATATCGTCAAAAAGGAAAATTTATCGAAATAAAATAATGTGAAATTTTATATTAAAAAAATAATGTGAAAATAGTGGTACGCGTGGCAGGATCAGAGTGGCGATACGGTAGACTGGGCCTCAATGTTGTTGGTAAATAACTTTTTAAAGATGTTAATCCTATGCGGGTAGGCGTAAGCAGCCAGGAAATCTGGATAAGCCGACCATTGTTGACCCCATTTATTGCTTAAACTAGGTATTAGTTAAAGCAATGTAATTTCATATTTTAAAGCTAAAGATATGAAATTAATAATATTTTACATATTTTGTATTAGATCTAATTTATTATTTTCGTTCCTATCTTATTTTCGAATCAATTTAGCCTTACTAATCCGAACTGACTTACATTACATACCTAGTTTTAGTAGGTGAGTCTCCCAACGAGAATTTTTTACATACACAAACTTGAACCTGAGATCTTACTTAAGTAATATTAAACTGTTAACCGCTTGAACCAAACCCGTTGATTCCTTTTTTTATTTTGATAAATATAAGATCCCCTTGAAATGGTATTTTTTTAAAAACAAAACCTTGTTTTTTTAAAGAAAAAAAATCTAATTTTATAATTAGTGTTCAAATAATATCACATGCTAGACTATATTATTTATTTTAGAATTTTAAATACATTTAATTATATTTTATAAAACTTCATCCAAATGGCATACAAGTGGATTCTACTTTTGTTTGAAAAATGAAATCTACATGTAAAGTTTATTTTTTTTTTTCAAAAAGAGTCCCTTGTATTCCCTAATCTATCGTTAATCGTAATATTTTGACAAATTTTCTTCATTTCAACTTGACAAATTGCACCATTATCCAACGTTCTTACCCTATCAGCTGACCCTATTCCCATATGTAATAGGGTAAGAGGGAGGTAGGATAGTATGTTGCCCCTAACGTCAGGTTGAGAGCAACTTCCGTGGGAGACCTCCGGCAGTCAGAACTATGAATTGCCCACGGTGGGACACGATCCCACGACCACAAGGTTAAGAGCCTTGCGCTCTACCAACTGAGTTGGACGTTCTTATCCCATTTATCTATTTCTTCTAATCAGCTTTATTAATTTTTCGACTTAGAAACCAATTTCATTACGAATTTATGTATTTTTATGTTTATGTTTGTCCTTCGTACCGTCTGTAACGATATTTGTTTGTATTTATCATTTGTCTGGATTATCTAGTTATGGTTTAATTACTTTTTTGATGATGATGTTTTATTTTGAAGTGATTAATTTGTGAACTTTGATAAATTTCAGGGATATGTGTGACAAATATAATAAGTCTATTATTATTTTTATAAAGTCTTATGTATTTTAAAGAAATTTACTCATTATTTAATAAAATAGGGACTATTACTAAAATAAATACAAGCGGTTTCGGACAACATTTTGAGAAAGGAATTAGTCTTTTCATATTTTGCATTTATTCAGTTTAACCTCCTTTTGCTTCTTATAATTCTATTTTGCCCCAAATTATTTCTATTTTTTTAATTTAGTCCTTTCAGTACTATTTTTTTACTATCTCATGACTAATTTAAGCTACTTTAACAACTGAATTTAATTTTTAAAAATACAATTACACACGCAATACAATCATAATTTATTTCTTAAAAATAATATTAAGTTTCTCATAAAATAATACAAAAAAAATCTAAACAACATATACCATAAAAAACTAAAAACTTACTTGAATTTGAAACTAGTCCTAAAAATAATTAAATCTGTCCATTTTTGGTTTTTTTGGTTAATATTTTTAACTTTGACTCATTATTATCTATTATTAATAAAAATATATTTTAAAAACCTTCAATTGAGTAGCTTTTAATATATATTTTAAAAATCTAATCGTTTAAAATATTTAAAATAATCATGATCAAAGTTTAAAAATTTTAAACTTTTTAAAAAAAATTAACTTTATAAATTTTAACTTTTAAAAAATCATATTAAGTACAGATTTAGTGGGACGTAGAATGTTCAGCAGAAACTCATAAACTTTATCTCTGATGATATAATAATCAATAGTTTCTATTGTGCGACCTCCATTCCACCTAGGGATGGGCACTAAATCCGAATCCGATAGATTTCGAATCGATTTGATCGGATCAGATTTTTTTTTAAAAATTCGAGTTTAGGTCGGGTCGAGTCGGGTTTTTTAAGTGTGTTATTTGGATCGGGGTCGGGTTTAGGGTGAAAAATATCCGACCCGAAAAATATATAATTTTACCTTATATATTTAGGAATAATTATAATAATACCCCTCTATATATATATTTTTCAATTAAGTCACTGTTTTTATTGAATAAAAATAATTTTTTATTATTTCGGGTCGGATTTCTAAATCATATATTCATGTCGAGTCGGGTGAAACCTTGTTTTGGTCGGGTCAAGTCTCGGGTGGAGACTCCCTTATTCTCGAGTCGAGTCGGGTAGACCAAAAACCCGACCCATACTTATCCCTAATTCCACCGTCCATTTTTACGTTATGTCAAAAAAAATATTTTTTTGAGTCAAATGAATTAACGAGTACTATATTATAATTTAATTTGAAATATTTTAGTCGAGTTAAATTTATAAGTTAAAGTCAAATTGTTCGAGTTTATGTTTAAATTTAATTGTAAATATTTTTAATGTCATAATACTAATTGATTGTAATCAAATTACTTTCTATAACTATATATGACACAAACACATATATTGATATATCATATAAAGTTAAGAGACTCGATTTAAAATTGAAAACCAATACATCAATTATTAAAAATTTCGAATTATTCGAATCTTATTTTATATCTAAAAAAATTAGACCATCGGATTCAAGTTTCTTTCGGAATGGACAAACTACACGAACTAAAAAGCAAATGTTGCTTCGACAACTCATTCGAAATATCTGTGTTCACATATTCAGACAGAGTACCAGGATGACTATGCACACATGTGAAAACTAGGGCTGGCCAAGAACTGGGTTTCTCCAGAACAGTTGTGTAGTGTATACGGTCCATGCAAATTTTACATACATATTCACCCAAAAAAATTAAAAAGAAGCAAGAAAATATGGGGAAAAGTGAGATTATATAATGCTTGTCGATGCTCTCGAAAACATCGGTGTAGTATGAACATGAATTCGTTCGACAATGATAATGATATGCTTGAAAATTTTACCCAATTATGTTTCGTCTCTCTGTATCGACGACAGAGTAGGTGGAATCATGGTTTCATCTTTACCTCCTACTGGAAACTCTTCTTTCTCTGTAGAAACTTGCCGGTCTGGACTACGAAACTCCTTTGAAATCATTTTGGGACTTGAAGAATTGGCTGTAAACCTTGTGGTCGGGATAGAATTGGACCCGGGTGACGAACTAGGGTCGGGACTGAACTGGACGCTCCCGCTTTCACGAGGTAAAGGTGACATTGGCAGCTCGTTACCGTTGTTTGTTTGTTTTCTGAACAACTTATCTTCTACAATGTCGTAAGAATTCCCGGTGCGTACTTCCTGTGCAAGTGTGCACCAACAACAGAATAGCCATAGCGCGCAATCAGCGGCTCCTGGATTACCGAAACAAAAGTTGTACGCTGGCAAATTGAATCTCTTTCTCATTTGAATCCTCCAGAAGCCGCCGTAACATAAACCGAACAGACAAAGAACAATTCCGGTAAAACCAAGAGCCTCTCTGACAGTCTCGTTATCGATATTCACAGCAGCCAAATTGAAAATCCAGAAAGGAGCCATACAAAACAGGAGAAAAGTAGCAATATGTACATACATGTTCCCGAATCCGAGTCTCTCCATGTTCCACCCAAAGACACAACAGCTACAAAAAACAGAAAGGTAAGCTAGAGAAATGTCATTCCAAAAGTCTAGTATCCCTCCACCCCAGAGCGGTCTGATCTCCACAATTCTCTCGTCATCTCCGGATGCGAATGAATATCTCTTCTCGAATGATTTTAGTCTCGACCACTCTGATCTATTACTTTCACCATCATCAACCACCTTCTGTGCTTCCTCATCCATTTCAGAAACATAATCCTTCCCAAGAGGACTAACAATGGTGTAAAG